GATTCTTTGCAAAGCTGCCCCTGACTTAAGCCCAGACTTCAGAGATAAGCATGCTGGGGGCGGAGGGGGGGGGGCGGGGGGGCACGTCCATGCTTTGGAAATGTAGCAGGGAGCCTCACTAATGCTTCATTAGATAGCAGGGGTCTTCATGGAGGTGGGAGCTATTCTTGCTAACCCCTCCTTTTCATCTCCCACAGCAAGAGATGCAAGCGGAACAAAAAGTAATAGGGAGAAAAAAACATGTTTTAATTAAAACAGTGTCACTGCTTCTAGTTTAGCCAAGCGACTCCCTTCTAGCATTCTTGGCATTCATTTTGTATTTTGCTTAGAGGTGACTCTCAAAGGCTACACCAGGCACAGGACTGAAGCGTGCTTTTTTTACTTTTGGGTCCTCACGGCTTCTAAAAAGGTGGGGCCAAGCAGAGAGGCTGCCAGAGGCTGAGCTATTTACTGTGGGGCCCTCAGCCACAGGGAGACTTGGACCCCTGGGCCGTTTGACTCCAGGTCTCCAAGACGAAGTAGTAAGTAACCCAAACCCATGTCTCCTTGACATTCCAGCAAGTCTCCAAATGTGGGCCCGCTCCATGGTTCCAGTGGTTGGCTTTCACAGCAATTAAGCACGGGGGCACATGAGGCTGGAAGGCCTCATGTTCTCCATTCGAACAAGGTGAATCCTAGCAACAGTAATGAAAACACCAAGCCCAACTCACTGACATCGAGTCCATTCTGACATATTGTGACCCGAAAGACAGGGAGGAACTGCCCCAGTGAGCTTCTGAGACGGAAGCACTACAGTTCATTGTAGAAAGCGGCTGTGCTTCCCAACTCATGGCCTTGAGATGAGCAGCCCAACGCGTGATCAACACACAACAGTCATCGAGTGAATCAACCCTAACACCGAAACTCTGGAAATCCCAAACCTCCCCCCTCCACCCTCACCACCCAGGATACCCCCAGTGATAAGATGCATGGCACCAGGCACGACTGTAAGCGCTTTGTATGTATTAACTCGGTTATCACAGTGCCCTTTGAGGTAGGTCCACCGCTATTCCCCTCCCACGCGTGACGAAGAGGGGCACTGGAGGTCAGTAGATGGAAAGTGGCAGACGGGGCAGCCTCGCCCTAGAGTTGCCTCAAGGGACGCCAGCACACAGAAGCCTTTTTGTGAATTTGTTTGAGAGCCCAGAAACAAAACATCAGAATGTGGTACTATGTCTGAAATTTCAGAACGAAGACCAGAAGCTCCTGCAGCAACAGAAAAGCTGACGTCAAGGTGAACGACCCAGAGTGCCGCCTCCTGATCAATTGTATGCCAGGAAGACAGCACTCCGTTCACGGCCATGCCAGCAGAGAACTGTCCTGTTGGTCCGCTTGGCTTCCTGAGCACCCGGCTCCTCCTTCCTCCTCCTACGTAACCATTAGGCGCGCACTAACAGCAATGCCTCTCACCGTGTGAAGCATTCCAAACATCTTTGTGATAAGATCCTCAAGCTCCTTTGTAGAGCTTTTATTTTGCGTTGTGTCGCATAGCGAACACACGTCTCTCCTATTAAAGGTAACTTAGTGGGTATGCCCTGGTGGTGCTGTTGAGTAAGCAAGCATTGGATGAGTTATCCCACAAGAAAGGTGGTTCAAACCCTCCAGCCCCTCCTTGAGATAATGTTGAGGTTATGGTGCCCGTAATGATTTACAGCCTCAGAAACCCTGTGTCCTTAATGACTCGATGGCAGCGAAGCAGTGGTCAGACTGCTGACTAGGTATGGCTGTCTGGGCTGCTGCTGATTCCCATTGGTGTGGACGAACTCCTCCCTTGTCCTCCCAGCTGGAAGCTTTCAATGGAAAACTCCATCAGAGCACTGGGTGCAGACCAGGGCAAACAGTAGGCTCCGTGATCAGATACTAATGGACCGTGTCCCTTTGGGGCTTCCCTTCCCAGGACTGCTTGCTCTTAAGGAGAAGGAGGCCAGTTCCGTAGGTAAGTCTATGTAATTTGTGGAAGAGGTCATCTAATCGACCACAGGGTTGTGGCGATAAGTGGAGCCAGGGTAGAGGAAATGAAAATGAGGAAATAAATCGGGGCTTTTCCCCCACTTTCATTCCCTGACAGGACAATCACTGCTGGCCGGATTCAGTCACATGATTGTGCTGTTTATTAGAACTTCTGGCTGTTTTCACTCTGAATTATCCGAAAGCACCCAACCCCGTTTGCAAGCTTCCATTTTCCTGTCCAATCTATAGGCCAAGGGTCTGCTTTTGAGGACAAAATGAATTCCCAAACTGGCAGCAATTTGGGAAGTGGTTCTATAAGCACACACCAGTCTTTGGAAATCTGAATGGGTTTACCTGGAGAAAAGACAGGCCCATCTACTCCTGGAAAGAGTCACAGGCTCGGAATCCCAGAGGGCAGTTCTACCCTGTCCTATCGGATCACTGCAAGTCGGCATCGCCTTAATGCCAGTGAATTTGGTTCGGATGCCCTTAAATTATGCCTTCCACCTATTCGTTCGCTTTTCAAAAGAACTATGTTCAAGTCAGTGTTCTATTAAGCAGGCACTTAAATAACAGCTTTGGGGGAGGTGAGGAGACTCAAGTTTAAAAAGGAAATGCGAGGCTGACTTGTCCCTTGGCCAGAGTCCCAGCAAGAAGAAAAGCTACAAACTGACTTCTCGGGAGCATCTCCTAAGGCCACCAAACCTCTCTTCCCAACCCC